AGTATGAAATATATAATTAGCCAGTAATACCGTATTTATTGGACGTGGGTACCCATGGCGTGTACCCTCTACCAGTTTTATAGAGCTGGACGGTGATTTATACCCGGGGTACATAAGTATGGTAAATATATTGTTCAATATAGTGTAGAAGTAGCCGGGTACAAAGATCGAGATATGTAAATACCCGGTGTACCCACGTCCGAAAAATACGGTATATAATATAAAGTATATATGATAACACAATTGCACACCTTGCATTTTACAAAAAATGCCACTTGTTCACGTAACCATTCATCTATTCCTTGCATATCTACAAGTATTATATATCACATTAAAGTGAATTAATAATAACTAGTATTAATTACTAATGCAAAAAATAATCAAACTACTATTTACCAGGTAGATATTCCTTGGCATGATATTCAGCAAGAGCCTCGAAAGTATTTATTGATTGTGATGATAAAGATCTAGCATTCGATTTAAGAATTTCGGAAATTTTGCTTTGAACGCGTGAGAGATCTAATATTCATATATGTGTGTGAAAAGATAATTTATGAATCTAATGATTCACTAACTCCATAGAAGATGATAAAAATACCTCGCTCTATTGTCTCAGCATGTTTTCTTAGTTTGGCGAACCTTTCTCGAATTTGGATCAAAGAGCTCTCCATTTTAGAAAAACTATAATAACAATTGTAAACCAATATAATTTGAACACATGTTTGCATAGACATATATATACAAACAACAAAATAGCTAAATAATTTACTTGTTGTTATACTTCTTTTTTTTCACCGTTTCCGTACCCAATTTTACATATTGAACTGTATTTTCCAATTCTTGCACACTTCGAGAAAGTTGACCTAGCACGAAGAATTTAGTATTTAATGATAATACTTCAAAATTTATTCCAGAAATATTAAAATTATTAGATCAAAGTTTTTAACGAACCATATGCATCTCGTCCTTTTTCAGCTAGAGTTGTAAACTCATCTAGGGATACAAAGTCAGCCAAAGAATATGATTTTTGGCTATTCACAGTAATGCCAGCGGATTTTAAAAGTTCTGGATGAACGGAAATATTACGAATAATTTCTATATCTATCGGCAGACTAAAAAAAAGATAGAAATTCACATTTATTTACATTTATTTACATAAAAAAATAAGTTTTAAACCTAGAGAATTGAAAGTACCTTTTAACCAACATATTCTGCTTGCTAATTTCTTTTTCGGAAATCGCGTTAAATACCTCGTGGACTTCGACAATTGAGCTAATTTTATTATAAAAAATTGATATGATAAAAAAAATTAAGAATTCTGAAAATTAAGGTGAAGAAAATAGGATCTTAATTAAATGGATTGGCAATATTACACACCGGCAATGGGAATCAAGGTTCGAAAGGGCAACGTCTAAAGCTATTAGTTGTACCCTTTGTTCTTGATAGAGACGTTCACAAAGTTCAGTATGAATGGCGGCTGCTTTAATGAATGACTTCGAAGATAAAAAGGATTTGGATATGAACATCTAATTTCTAATGACGATAATTTTTATTTGAATTATAGATTTGCATCCTACAGTATATGACTTAGTAGATGATGGTCACCTGTCCTTGGGAATGATTCTTTTGAAATAAATTGGCATAAGTACCACATTCATCGGAAATATTCAAAATGTTTAATGCAGATGATTTTTGAGCTTTTTCAGTCGCAAATGTAGTGATCGATGCTGCAAATTAATTAAACTAGATTAAAAGATACCTTCAAAAAAAAAAAAAAGAAACATGAAATAATCTAATATTATTTTACCAATGATGGGAGGTTCTAAGAGAAGTTTTTCATTAAGAGATTCTATATTCATTGTAATATTAGAATCTAAAAGTTCTCTGTTGAAAAGAAATATGCGTTCGTTCTTATAATTATTATCAAATGCGTTAAAAATATTGTGATAATAAATCGGTACCCAGCGAATGGAGAAAAACGCGAGAACGACGTAATAGAATGTTACCTTGACGTCTATATCATCTCTAAGTTGGATTCCAGCACCCGTTATTAAGATCTGTGAAGATATTGGAACACCGGATAGTTGTTCGAGCTCTGCTTTAAGGAAACTCAAACTAGAAAATATTGAAATCAAAAATATTGTAATAAGCTACTAGGTAAACGCGTACATTCAACTTTCAGGATTAATACACTTTGACCTCCGCCCAACGCTCAAAGGCCCATTTAATGTTTGATCAAATACTATTTATTATTAATGGCGACTCTTCAAATAAAAAAAAAAGTAATAAGCCTTATTACCTCTCAAACTTTTTAGAGACTTTAAGACGTTTTCCTGTTTCCGCACGAAACACTTCCATAATTTGGTATTATTTTTGAAATATTGGTTGCAAAACAAAAACTGATTTATTTTCGATACTTCTTACCACAGTTTAAAAGAAACAAATTAAGTGGCAAAAAAATGAAGGAATGCAAGAAAAGACAAAGAAAGTATAAATACGAAGCCGGGTGCATCATTATTTTTACGTAATTAGGTTACGTAGCCCCGGAAAACGGAGTGTTAACATTACACCTTGTATCATGTGTAACTAACAATGCAGAATTTAGGGAATATAAATCAGGTGATAATTGTCATAATATCGAAATCGATATAAAGCATGATTCTGATACTGTACTGTATACATATTAACGCCCTAATCAAGTATTATACTCACGAACTTGATAAAATTATGGATCGAGCCGAAACTAAGTTAGGCGACTATTATACTATAATTTTATTGTGTTTACCATTGTTCTGTGATATGAAAACAGGAAACAAAGCGAAGTCATAGCGTAAAATCTATAGTGAAGAGTCTTATTAACATTACTGCATTAAGGTTAGCTTCATTTCTATTTTTTATGGTTACACTAATGACGAAAGTTTTCAATTTAGATTATGCATGTTAAGGTATAATCTACATGTAGTCAGTCGATCATTACCACATAAAAAGAAATCATCTTTATATCAGCAGTTTGTTTGTACGTATCATCAATGTAAAAAGGAAACATGTCTGCTATTCGACCAGAACTATTTCAATCGGCTGTAAAATTTCTTAAAGATTCACAAGTTAAAAGTAAACCTCTTCAAAAACGAATAGCATTTTTAGAATATAAAGGTTTAACATCAGATGAGATTGAAGAGGCACTAAGGGTAGCTAATGATGGAGATATTAGTGAAGATTTTAGTGAAGATTTTAGTGACGTACAAGGAATGTTTCTGTCACAGCCTAATGAAATTTTCGTTTCTGAACAAATGAATTTTACTCAACCACCTCTAATTCAACGATTTGATTGGAAAGATTATTTCATTGCAGCTGTGTTAATTAGTAGCATTGGATATGCTATAGCAGATGTCGCAAAGGTGTGCTACTATTTGTAATCTCTCTATTAAAAAATTTTATATGAAATTTAATAATATTTTTTCACTTTATTTTCAGGAGTATTTTGTCTCTTTTCTGGAGATATTAACAACTGATAGCCTTGAGCAAGATAGACAGTCATTTTCAGATCAACTCACCACCACTACAGAAATTCTAGATGTCATGAAGTTTGATACTCAAATTATTAAGAAGAGCATAAAAGAACAATCATTTGAAGTTACGAATATACTAGAAATACTAGATAACGTGTTAAAAGATTTGAAATGTTATGAAGAAAATAGGGATATAGAATTAGGAACTTTGAAAGAAGATATGGATTCAATACGAGATTTAATTCCAAAAGTAAGTTATTTTTTCTATGATTATGTTTCCTAATCATGTCTAAATTTCGATATTTATAATAATTCAGCTACTTGAAGAATCAAAGAATTTTCAGGAACAATCGTTTACCAATCTGCAAAAAGAACTTAAATCGTTAAAATCACTTGCCAATCGAAGGGGTTCACAAATAATTGAAGCTTTGGATTCGTCATTATCCACAATTACTAACATGATGCCCACAAATTCCGAATCAAGCTCTAATCGTTCATCGATTCCGGAATTAAAATTAGGTATGAATAACATATACACTATTACAAAGGTTTCAATAAAATAAAGCGATCTGAGTCCAGTTTTATGATGCTGATGAATGTTTCATAGTAATGAATCTGTTTGATATTGTGTATAATATAAAATAGTCTGATGTTTAAGCAAGAGTATTGAAATAGACAAAATATCCGAAGTTTCTTATTTTATATTTTATACA